CCGTTCAAGCTTTATTAAAGAAAGAAATCTGCTGGGCTGTGCTCAGAGTGGCACAGGGCCCATAGCTGCCCTGAAAATGATGGACAGCCTCAACAATGGGTTTGCAAGAGTTTATATTAGCTTTTGGGTGCGAAATGTACAGGGGGAGGGACCATTAGGCTGATGTAACTGGGTGGAGAACTGCACTGAAGCAGAAGCTGGAAACTTGTTTCTAAGTCAGGAGGCTTCTTATAAAGGGAAGGGGGGAGGGGAGGGGAGGGGAGGAGGTGGGTGGCGCCATTTTGTACTTGGGCTTGTCTAAAGTGGCACTGGTTATGTTGCAGATCTATTAGTTTGTACTTTTGTTGTTGAGTTACAGGAGTTCTTTATATATTCTGAATATTAATCTCTTATCATATATATGTAGTTTTGTTTTGTTTTGTTTTTTCTTGTAGTGTCTGTGTCTGGCTTTGGTATCAGGGTAATGCTGGCCTCATAGAATGAGTTAGGAAGTGTTCACTCCTCTTTAATTTTTTAGAAGAGTTTGAAAAAAGATGGTGTTAATTCTTTAAATGTTTGGTAGAATTCACCAATGAAGCCATCTGGTCCTGAGCTTTTCTTTGTTGGGAGGTTTTTTAGTACTGATTTAATCTCCTTATTTGTTATAGGTTTATTCAGATTTCCTATTACTTCTTGAGCCTTTTTTTTTTTTTTTTTTTTTTGTCTTTTTCCGTGTCCGGCAACGGATCGCAACCCTCAGTGTTGCCCCCATACCGGACCGGGGACCGGTAACGGGATTGCAACCCTCGGTGTTGTTCCCGCGCCTCGCTCAGCCAGTGAGCGGGAACCGGTCTGCATGTGGGATCCGAACCCTCGGGCGGGAGCACCGCTGCGCTTCCCAAGTGGCGCACTATCCAGTGCGCCACTGGGCCGGCCCTTGAGCCATTTTTTGGTGTGTCTCTCTCCAGGAATTTTTCTATTTCGTTTAGGTTATCCAACTTGTTGACATATAGTTCTTTATAGTATTCTTTCATAATCTTTTTTATTTCTGTAATGTTGGTAATAATATTTTCTTTTGTTTCTGATTTCAGTAATCTGAGTCTTCTTATTTTTCATCAATGTAGCTAAGCATTTGTCAATTTTGCTGATCTTTTCAAAGAACCAACTTCTGTTTTTATTGTCTTTCTCAATTGTTTTTCTGTTCAGTATTTCATTTACCTCTTCTCCAATGTTAATTTCCTTCCTTCTGCTGTCTGTGGGTTTAGTTAGCTCTTCTCTTTCTGGTTCCTTAATGTATACTGTTATGTTATTGATTTGAAAAAAAATTTTTTTTTTTTCCTTTTTGTCTTTTTTTCATGACTGGCAACGGATCGCAACTCTCAGTGTTGCGCCCGTACCGGCCTGGGACCGGCAACGGGATCGCAACCCTCGGTGTTGCTCCCCCCACCTCGCTCAGCCAGTGAGCGGGAACCGGTCTGTATGTGGGATCCGAACCCTTGGCGGGAGCGCCGCTGCGCTTCCCAAGCAGCGCACTGTAGCAGTGCGCCACTGGGCCGGCCCCTGAAAAAATTTTTTTAATGTAGGTATTTACAAGCTGTACATTTTTCTCTGAGCCCTGCCTTTGCTGCATCCCATAAGTATTGTTAATTTGTTTTGTAAGATCTGTGCACCGTGCACAAATCCCACATGTCGGGATGGCTCACTTCACAAAGACCATGAGACAGAGACCGTTGCAATCAAGCAAGAGGAGTTTATTCCAGCATGCTTGGGTCGCTTCGTTTTCAGGACAGAAGTGGCCCCGAGCTTTTAACACAAGCACTTTTTATATAGTTTTTTAGACAGACTTTTTTTAACAGGATGAGTTGTTGGTTATCTGAGGTGCCTTTAGATTTATGGGTAGGCTTTAGCGGGCTGGTACCCTGATAAGGAACAGCGCATTTCTCAATCGTTTATCTTCCCTGGGGTCTGGCCAGGTGGCCTCTAGATAAGGAACTAGTCAGTTCCTGGAACCGGGTGGTGGTCACTCCCTTCCTGGAATGTAGTGCGCCTGGGCCCGCTTGACCTCTACTTAGCCCCTTAGAAGCGGCTTTACTTAAAATGTCATTAGTTATGTTTTCCTGTTTTTAGCAAGCATTTTGTTACAGAAGCAAATTTCGCATATTAAAGTTATATATTTTTCTACAGTTTCTTTTGTTCATCTCAATATAATTTCTAATTTCCCTGTAGTTTCTTATATCATGGGAGATCCAAATCTGAAAAGGCACTCACGTAGTGTTTTCCTATTCTAAAGAACTCACCTGGGCCAAAGGTAGAGAGGTTGGTTTATTAGACTTATGGGAGGTGCTGATGGCAGCTGGTCAGCTAGAAATCTGCCCTGCCATGGGGTACATACAACAGTTATACAGTGAGCAGATCAAAGGAGAGGTGTAAATCATTTGTATGCTTATGTGTAGACCCTCACCTGACTCAGAGCTCACAGGAGATCTGGCTGAGTAGATAAGTTAACCCCTCCTGGTGCTGGAGTAGTTAACAGCAGTGTGCTAACTCCATTTACATGCTAATTAATTTACTCAGGGCTCCTGCTTCCTATAGTTCTTTGTTTATCTTAAAGGAGACATGCCTTTCCTTGGGTGACTACCTTGGCCAGGGGTAGTGCCCCAGGGGAGAGGGGAAACTCTGGTATGAGTGGGGAGGGGGGATATAAGTCTTTGTCCAGTATTTGCCTTACATTTCTTCTTTGACAAATTGGGCTGACAGGTTTCTTTTTTTCTTTCAACACATCATAGGTTTTATTACATTGCTTTTTGGCTTCCATTTTTCTGATGAGAAATTCATTGTCATTTGTGTTTTTATTCCTCTGTATATAAGGTCTTTTTTTTTCTTTAAATGTTCTTTATTTTTGCTCTTTAATGATTTAATTAAATGCATATTCTTCAGTGTATTTTCCTTTGTATTTATCCTGCTCGGAGTATGCTGAGCTTCTTTGCTTGGTGGTTGCTATCCTCCATCAGTTTTAGGAAGGTCTTAGTAATTATCAAATATTTATTTTACACACTTGTCTCTCCTCCTTCTGGGACCCCTTTTACATACTTGTTAGACCATTTGATATTGATCCACAGAACTTGGGCTCCCTGTTTCCTTTCTTCCCATTCTTTTCTTTTTGTTTTAATTCGTGTACTTTTTATTGACCTATTGATCTGTCTTCAAGTTCACTCATGTTTTCCATTGCTGTGTCCAGTTTGCTATTAAGCCTATCTAATGCATTATTTTATTCTGATATCTTATTTTCCATTTTCAGCATTTTCACTTAGTTCTTTTTCATGGTTCCATGTGTCTGCTGAAATTACCTATTTCTTCCTGCATGTTGTCTACCTTTTTTCACTAGATCTATTAGCATTTTTATCAGAGTTATTTTAAAGGCCCTCTTTATCTGGGCCATCTCTAAGTCTGTTTAAATTGACTCTTTTTTCTGTCTTGATTATAAACCACTTTTATTTTTATTTTTTAAGTTTATTTTATTTTATTTTTCTCTCTTGATCATGAGCTACTTTTATTTTTATTTTATTTTTTGCCTTTTCATGTACTTTGTAATTTTTTTTCTTTTTTTTTTTTAAAGATGACCAGTAAGGGGATCTTAACCCTTGGCTTGGTGTTGTCAGCACCACGCTCAGCCAGTGAGTGAACCAGCCATTCCTATATAGGATCTGAACTAGTGGCCTTGGTGTTGTCATCACCGCATTCTCCCGAGTGAGCCACAGGCCGGCCCCTAGTAATTTTTGATTAAATACCAGACATTCTTTATAAAAGAACAGTAAAGATTAGATTAAATTATATTTATATCCAGAAAGAGACATGCTGTTTCTTCTTTTCTCAGGCTGCTAGATTGGGAGTTGAGTCTGTCTAATCTGTAGTTGATCTGCGTTTGGACTTTGTTGTAGCTTTAGTTTGATTCAGTTTTACCATTGGCTTCAGATGTTTTGAGGCAGGATTTTCATTTTGTAGGGCCCCATCTGAGTACTGCGGATTTACTAGAGATTTTCATCTTTGCTTCACAGCTGAGTTCCTACCTTTCAGAACTGTGGGCAATGTCACCACATTTTGTAGCCCAGTTGTTAGGTCTTTGGGCCATGAGGGAATTCTGTTTGTTCTCCAATCCCACTTCATTCTTTCTTCACTTTGAGAGATCTCTTTCAACCTTCCGTCTCCTTCCCTGGCCTTTGGAGGGCAGCTGCCCTATATGGTAGGGCTTAGCATGCCTCTGAGGTGTTACTTTCAGATCTTCCAGTTCTGATCTGAAGTGTTACTTTCAGATCTTCTGTTCTGATTCATACTTTAGTAGTTGAAAGTTCACGTAGCCTCAGGGGAGTTTGCTTAGCTCTCCTCTGCTTCCAGCTGTTGGTAAATGACCCTGAGTCTTCCCTGAAGTCTATGTGAAAAGTTATGGAGTTGGTTTAAACTCCTTCTGTGGCTGAGCTTCTTAAGATTTTAATTTGCCATGCCAACCTACATGTAGCTATTAAAAATTCGGGTGGTTTCTCTTTATAAACCCCGTGTCTCCTCCTACTGTTAACACCAGTGAAGAAAGCAGCCATGGATCTCTTCTTTCCTTCTGAGAACTCACAGCTTGTGTTCATGTGTGGAGACCAGTTTTCTTTGCACTTGACAGAGAGAGAAAGAAAAAAAAAAGATGTAATTTTTGCAGGAAAATTCTACTATTTTGTCTCCTCATTATTGGAGTGTCTGAAACCCTTCCTAAGCGACTCTAGCATTAGCATGGCTGAAACTTTGTCACTGCAGATTGACAAGTATAATTCAAGTGGGTTTTCCCTACCTGTGGACAAACCATTTCTCAATGAGTCAATGGAACTGAGCGAAGTGACCATCTTTTTTTTTTTTTTTAACTGTGATTTTGTAGTTTGGCTTATTTAGGTTTTAGGGCTAGAGAAATGACCTCTTTCAACTTTCTATGAACAAACTGGAAGCAGAACTCTAAAGTGTGTCCTTTTGTATTTGTTTTTCAGATTAATATATTTTGGTGGTTATGGGTGTAGGAGACACAATGAACTCCAAGACTGTTTTGATGTTCATGATGCATCTTGGGTAAGAGAATAATCACTATTTACATTTTCCTCTAATTCCATATAGCCTTAAAGTCTTAGAAATAAAGAGCTCAGTCTTTCTCATTTTAGGAACTACCAATTTGCCGTAACTGACACTATGAAAAAAAAATATGGTTTCTCTGTTCTAGATTTGGATCCAGTTGGAGGAAGGTCTCTCATCTAGTGGTATTAGCCTCATGGCTACTGGCAGAGTAATTTCTTTTCTTACGTCATTAATCATTTATTACCTGCTTCTGTTAGGCAAGAAGAGGCTTTACCACAATTTGGAAAAATTTTGTTCATATTTAACCACAATGGCTATTGTTGTAAAGAGGTATTGTTATACCTCTTTTTAGATATACCCATCAGATTAATTCATAGCTCAAACTGGCCTCTATGTAAGAGTGAGTGAGTTAGTAGTGATATTACTTTTCCTGCTTATTCATACTGGTTAGAGAATAAATCATTATTAATGAAAAATCATGAAATATGAAAATGAAATATTTTAAAATATAATTTTTAAAACCATTGATCCCACCACCAAGATGCATAGTTTTTTCAGCTTTACCTTCTATTAGCATATATTATCATTGTATGTTATTAATGTAAATGTGTGTATATGTTTCCTGTATATTGCTTCGTATATAGGTATTTAAAAAATTCTCCCTGTTTCTATGTGATCTTTGACTTTTTTAAATGAAATATCTTTAAAGCTTTGCTATTTACGGATAGTTTTCAAGAATACAACTTTTCATTATTTACATCTAATTATTTTCATTCATCAGTGAAATAACTCATTTTTTTTCTCACCTAGTATAGTTAGTTAAGCTAATGAACCTGTCCTGAAGTTTCTGGAGTACAAGTAGATATTTTTCATTAAGATTCTAAACTTCGAAATCGTTTAGTTTGTTTGACTTGCTTAATAAGTCCTGACAAAAATAAATGATGTATTTCTAATATAGAACGGAAAACTGGCAGAGATAAGCTAGAGATAATAGATTTCAGCAATCTAGAAGATGCTGAATACAGTATAACTGCTAAATTTTTGCCTTGCCAACAAAGAATTTTATCTTTTAAAAGATGAAGAGAACAGATTTCAGTTTGACCTGTAAATATTTACCTGGCAGGAGAGATACCATGATCACGAAGTTTGACCTAAAAGAACAAATTTCTTGGTGCAAAGTGATTAGAACTTCTTGGAACAAGGAACCATGGCCCTCTAAATTTTATTATAGTGAAGATTAGGAGTTCTGAGCATGTGCTTTAGGAAAACAGATTTTTAAATGTAAATATCATTCTGTCCTCTGCAATTTTAAGAGATAATCCTTAGAGAAAATTGAAAGATTGTCAACGAGTAAAATTATGATTCACTGTGAGCAATTCTGTGAGAAGAAAAGTTGCCAGGTGATGCTGCTTCTGGTCTGGCGATGACAGTTTGTGAGGCACTGGTGTATACATTAGCTTTATGTCTATGTTAACACAACTCTATTTTTGTAAAGGTGTCTTTTATTTTACCAGTAAATACGTGACCAAACTGTGCCATAATGTAAAAATTATAAAAGCTTTTAGATATTTAAAAAATTTCTGTTTTAGGAAGAGCAGATATTCTGGGGATGGCATAATGATGTCCACATATTTGACACAAAGACACAGACTTGGTTTCAACCAGAAATTAAAGTAAGTGTTATAAGAAGTTATTTTTATGTTCATTGAAAAATCTTCTCTAAAAATCTGTCTTCTTATTTGGATTTTAGTAATTGGGTTTGTAATCACATACAAAGTAGTTCTTTGGAGTACTGTCACCAATACCATTTTTTAAAAATCACATATTTTTCTCTAGGTCAGCTAGGATTTCCTAGAAAAAAAATTTTAAAGAGGTGCCATCATTATTCTTTACCCACAAAGTGTCATGCTCTGATTTAATGAAATCTCTTTTAAAAAGTCCTTTTATAGCAAAGTTCATGATTTTTTTTTTTAGTGGCTGGCCGAGTTCATGATTTTTAAAAGCCCATGTTTCCTAAACCCTTGAATTCAGAGCTACATGTAATTATAGCATGACAAAAATACATTATCAATACTCTTTCATTTGCCAGTGGCCAAACACAAATTCAAATTAGTTTAAGCAATAAGGAATTCTCACATAGCTGGAAAGCATATTGGAGTGGCTCACACAGTGGAAGGAAGAGCTGCAGAGACCAGAGCCTCAGGAACTGGAGCAAGTTACTCAAAACCATCACAATACTTTCTATTTCTCTTTGTTTTTCCCAGTTTCTCTTTATGTGCTTGCTTCATTCTGTGTACTGTAGACTGGCTGGCTCATTTATGAGGGAATATGGCTCTGGCTACACAAGCAGTTCTTCTTATGGTGTTCTCTCCATGTCTGTCTGTCAGTCTTAGAAAAGGACTCTGGCTCTACTTGAGCATGTGCCTACACTTTATATCAATCTCTGTTGCCAAGGGCATGATTGGCCAGTCTTGAGTTACACGTCCATCCAAGAGCAGCAGGGTATTGTGATTTATAACTCACCAGAACTGAACAGAATGGAATGCGAAGCAGGCCAAACTAGCATTGTCTGCAATTATGGATACATCCCTAAAATTTTTGTTTTTTTTATTGAATCATAATTGATTATACATATTTTGGGGGTTCAACATCAATGTTTGTCGATCAAATCAATATTATTAGCATATGTATTATTACAAATCTTACTTATTCTTAATGCCCCTTATCCAGTCTCTCCCCATCCTCTTCTCCCTCCCCACTCCCACCTCTGATAACCCTAGACTACTTCTCTCCTTCTGAAAGAGTAACTGCCTGGTTGCAAGAGGAAGGGTTGGTCCCTGGCTTCATGCCTCAGGACCCCAGGCTGGCCCTGTGGCAGCAGCAGTGTGCCTGGTTGTGGGAAGAGGGGTCAGTCTCCAGCTCCATCTGTTTTTACATTCTAAGTTATTGTTCTGGAGCAGTTGGATGGGAGGGGGAGAGGGGAACGGGGAAGCAAATAAGGTGGGAGGAGGAGGAAAGGGGGGTCATGGTTGAGACCCGTGGCACCCCCTCATTCCTGCAGGGGAGACCAGGTGACTTCCAGTGGTAGGTTGGTTGTTGCTGGGCTGAATGTAGATGTCAGGGGTGTGTGGCTGAAATCTTTGGTCCCCCCACTGCCCTCGTTCTAGAGACTAGGGGGCTTCCAGTGGTGGTTCAGTGGTCATTGCTGGGCTGGTTGCAGATGTTGGGGGGTGTGGCCCAAGCCCTTGGTCCCCCCACTGCCCTGGCTAGGGAGCCTGGGGCACTTCCTCTGGTGGCTCAGTGGTTGTCACGAGGCTGGGTGTGGGTGTCAGGGTGCGCGGCTGAGGCTCGAGGCCCCTCACCATCTGGTTCAGGAGGCCATGGCACTTCCTCCAGTGGCTCAGTAGTCATCACTGGGCTGGTTGTGGGTGTCAAGGGGCATGGTTGAGACCTCCAGCCCTTCCCGCTCCATGGCTTGGGGGCCCAGGGGGCTTCCAGTCCTTCTAAGTTTTATAGGTATTCTTTGGTAACATGAGACCTTTACTAGTAAATATCAAACTTTGTCTCTGGTCTGTGGTTGTTTTGTTTTTTTCTTTTAGTTCTGTGTTGGATAATTCGCTGTTCCCACTACTTAAACTCTGCACTGGAACTAATTTGTTGTCCTTTGCTTACTTCTGAAATGGGGGAATTTCTTGTGGGGACTAGCACTTGAGCTCTGTAGTTGAGCTAAATTGCTGCTTTGCTGAGGACTCCCTGGAGAAGGCTTTTTGTGCAGCTCAGGTGTTAATGGTTGACTTGTAGGTACTTCTGGGTCTCATGAGATTCAGTACACCTGGATTATGTAGAAACTCTGGTCTTTGCTGCTTTGCTGAGGACTCCCTGGAGAAGGCTTTTTGTGCAGCTCAGGTGTTAATGGTTGACTTGTAGGTACTTCTGGGTCTCATGAGATTCAGTACACCTGGATTATGTAGAAACTCTGGTCTGGGCCTGAGTCTTTACAGCAAACTGCTCCCCTTGCAGTTCTATATTCCTGACCAGTCTACACAGAGTGGTCCTGTGCTGACTGAGGGGCAGATCAGCCATCCATGCTGTGCCCTGATGTTCCCCCAGTGAGAACATTGTCTTCCCCACCCCAACTCACTCCAAACACTTCCCATGGGATGGGCCGTGTGCTGCTCCCTTGTGATGACTCACTGTCCTCTGAGTGGCCCCTTTTTTCAGTTGTTGTGGCTCCTCACTCCTATGTGGGTCCATGGAAACTCTGTTAATGGTGCTGCTGACCTGAGGGCCACCAAGGCCCGCCTCTCCCCTGCTGCCTCCAAGCAACTTCATAGGAAGGGCACAGCTGTAGCTTTTGCCAGCACTTGCTCCATGTGCTCACCAGCTCCAGACTTGAAGTGGCCCAGGCTCAAAACAGTGGGAGTGACCCTTTCTTTCTCTCATTGTGGATTCTCCCGCCTTCATGCACTCCGTAGGTCTCTTCTCCTCTTCCCCTGAGCTCTAGCGGCCTTAGCTTGGCTATCGTTGCATTTTAATAGTTGTACATTGGTTGATTTGTGGAAGAGAGTGACGCTGGTGACGGTCTATTCTGCCATCTTGACCAGAAGCCTCTTATGACTACAATTTCTTACAGTCCAACTTCTGTTGATAGAAATGATGGGTAGTTCTATGCAAAATAGTAAATGTTATAAAGTTTTACCCTTTTGTGCATCCTCTTTTTCCAGGCAGTGAATTTCAGGTTTGCAGTGCTCTCCTCTTCACCCCATTTCTAATTTTAGAACTAAACGATAGTCTGTGGGCCGAGCCCGTGGCGCACTTGTGCGGCGCTGGGAGTGCAGCGACGCTCCTGCCACGGGTTCGGATCCTACATAGGAATGGCCGGTGCGCTCACTGGCTGAGCGCGGTGCGGGTGACACCACACCAAGGGTTGCAATCCCCTTACCAGTCACGAAAAAGACAAAAAAAAAAAACAATAGTCTGTGATTTATACTTGTTGATTGAATTTTCCTTCAATCAGCATTTGAATTTTAAGAGTTGTGTCTTTTATTAATGAAATAAAAGGATTTTACTTCTGTAAAGATAATTTCGTGGCAGCAAGCCCTTGGAGAGAAATATTATTGAGACTGAGTCTACTGAAACTAATCCTACATCTCTTTCAGGACTTTTAACCCTGTACTTTTTTAGAGAATAAGCAGAAGTGGTCTGGAGCTACTGAAGGCTTATTTTTAGAATTTGCTCCTGCAAATGAAGGAGCTGAGGTAGTTTATAATCAGTTCTTTCGACTTTAAGTCTTTCCCTGACTCCTTGCCTTAATCCATATCCTTTCCCTCCTTTTGCTCCAGCAATCTTACAAGCACATGAGGGTATTGTACTTAGTACTTAACAATATTTTCACTATTTCCCTGGTGATATCTTCAAATAAATTCTTATGTTGCTTATATTATATCTGAAAGTTTTTCTGGCATGATTGCAGCTGGAATCTGTTATCTTTATTTTTTACAGATATTCCTAAATTACTTCATTATTCCCAAACATCTGCAATAAAAGAGGAGGCATCATGGTAGAATATCACAGTTATTGGTGTTGGAGTTGAGAAAACCAGTTTTGCATTCTAATTGTGTCATAAAAGTGCTGTGTACTTTAGATAAGCCATTCAGGATTTCATCTGTAAAATGCGAGGGCTGACAGTGTTTTCCTACATGGGACTTTTGCCCCTGTAAGAGCAATTTTGTAGAAATAACGACTTCTGAGTCATTTTCAGTATTTCAAACAACCTAATAAGCATTGTATGTTACTTATGCAGTTAGGCACACAGATGAAGCAAATGCCATATCTTTGTTTTTGTTTGAATTATATGAACTCAGTTTCTCAGAAGCTTTGTTTGGCTGTTAATTATATTTGATAAATTAGAAAGGAAAAATTAGTTATTTAATAAATGTATATGTAGTAGAAGAATTCTTCTAAAACTCCAGATCAAGGATGATTTTGTTTACAAATAATTAAAATTTTGTTTTGCTGGTAGGGTTGGGAACCAAAATTCTTAAATGGTTCTCTCTCATTTATTTAAATGTTAGGTAGGGAATATCTAAATTATTCTTACCAAGTTGACCTCTGCACAGTTATTGGAAAGTTTAGGAATTTGTGATATGGGATGGAGAGCTTAAATATTTTATGCCCACATTCAGTAGCCAATGAGCTGAAAATGTTGGATTCTTTCAGAACTTGGAATGAAATACATGCACAAAGGCACCCACCATGAACACATGGAAATTGTGCAGAAGAATCTTCCTTCAAATCTTATTCATTCATCTACCCATTATAGTCTGTCTTTTCTCAACAATTAAAAAGTTCTGTAAAGAAGAGATATGCTGTACAGTATTTATTCAGACTAAAGTATCTCTACACTGAAGTTTTATCAGTTAATGTAGAGAGCTTTAGTGAGAGATAAAGCACTGTTTGGCTTAAGCCGAGAGTGAAAATCTTATTGTGAATTTGAAGAATCAAGAGTTTGGGGGCCATATTTACTTTTATAGAGTCTCTAAGATTATCATATTATGCACTGTTCACTCCTAATATTAACTCTGTGTGTGTGTGTGTGTGTGACAGAGAGAGAAAGAGACAGAGACAGAATTTTTTTAATTTGATTTTTTATATCCTTATATTTCAAGCTAAAATCTACATGAAATCTTATTTTGCTAAATAGTGTCAGGCATTTAAGAAAAACACTTTAAAAAGTAAAGATCAGGGAGAATAAATTTTGTTCTTGAAGAGTAGCATTTGTCTATAATTATTTCTATTTAGGATGAACGTTTGCATTAGGATTTTTAATTGAATTACATAGGTAATGGTATGTCTCATACTCAGCATAGGAATGTGACTTTATTACAGATGTTTCAAGTTTTTTGCAATCTGTTCTTATCTCTGCTTGCAGGGCGGAGTTCCACCACAGCCACGAGCCGCGCATACATGTGCAGTTCTTGGAAATAAGGGTTATATCTTTGGTGGACGTGTTTTGGTTAGTATTTTTTTTTATTTTTAACAGCTGCCCGGTACAGGAATTCGAACCCTTGACCTTGGTGTTATAAGGCTGTGCTCTAACCAACTGAGCTAACTGGCCAGCCTTGGTTAGTATTTTTAATGAAAATGGTACTTTTATGTGTGATGCTTCTTATAAAAATCTTCTGGCTTTGTGGAACAATTGAACATTCACATACTCTACAGATGAAAATGGCATTCAATAATAACTTCTACTTATCTTCTATTTCCAAAACAGACCATACATGAGCGATCACAAATAATTATAAATCATATTTTAATGAGGAGAATCCTTCACTTCAGTGCAATTATCAGATAGTTTAATTTCTTATAATCAAAGTCCTATTAGTTTAAACCCATTTTCCCTTTCCCTTTTCACACATTAATTTGAGAGCTCTATGTTAATTTTATCAATGCTTAGCATTGTTTCCCAATTTCAACTTCTGATGTTAAGTAAAATAGAGATAGTCTGTTTCTAATCTGAACTTATTTTAAAACCAAAATTTAGTCAGTAAAAGGTGTAAAACACTGACCAATTTAACACACTTTTATTTCAGCAAACTAGGATGAATGATTTGCACTATCTCAACTTAGATACCTGGACTTGGTCTGGAAGGTAAGTGTGAAATCTCAGTATGTTTTAATCTGTAGGCATGTATGTATATGTGGGCAGGGCCCATAATCCAAATTTGGGTCCCTCAAACCGAATTTTTTTTTTTTTTCCTTTCAGATTATATGTCTAAGCAAGGGATATGAAGATTTAAATAGAGTTTATTCTTTAACCAAACTATACAAAACATGAAAATATCAACAGTTGAAAATTGATTATGTAAAAATACAAGTTTTATACTAGGTATTCTTTGAGGACTAATCAGTAGAAGAAAGGAAGGAGTAATTGAATGGGGCCATCTCAGGTGAACAGATAATTGAGTTCGTAAAAGTTAGATTTTCATTATGGCTCATATATTTAACAGTAGAATAAATATATTTAGCTATCAATTCAGCCATTCACGTAATGAGATGGAATCAGAGCTATGTATTATTCCAAAGTATTAATACCATTAAAAATAAAACCATGAAAGTGTTGGAGGAAAATATAACAGATTGTCTTTAAAATCCTGGCAGGGAGAAAGCTTTTATAGAGATGATATAAACCCAAAATTCATAAATGAAAAAACTGATAGATAGAATCACTTAAGAATTAAAAATTTCTTTATAGAAAAATACAGCACAAAAAAATTAAAAGGTAGATTGGAAAATGCAAACAAAAACAAACTGGAAGGAGAGTTTGCAATATTTTTACCAGAGAAAGGTCAGGGCTAAGGTCCACAAGAACTTAAAAAATCAGTAAGAGAGAGACAAATAATCCAGTATAAAAGTAGGCAAAGAACATGAATGAGCAACTCATAGAATATATACTAATGGGCAAAAATTATTTTAAAAAGATGTTCAACCTCATAGATTATCAAAGAAATGGAAACAAAACTTAAGTTTTCACTTTTCAGATAAAAATAATTATAATGACCAGTGTGTGCAAGGAGGTAACAACGCAATTTGTAGGAGTACAAATTGGTACAATTTTTGTGGAAAACAGTCTGGCAATATATTTTTGTTTTGTTTTGTTTTGGGGTGGGGGGGGCAGAATTTTATCTGGCTTGGCTTCTACCTGCCCCAGGGTCTGGGTCTCTGTGTTTAAAATATAAAATGGAATTTATGCTTTGATTCAGAATATTTTCAAAGACAATAATTGGCAAATGTATGTGTGTGTGCAAAGAAGTTTATTGCAACATTATTTGTAAAATCCAAAACTTGAGATCAGTGGGGATTGTTTAAGTATGATACATTTACTCAGCGGACCGCCATGCTTCCATTACCAAGGAAACCATACTTCATGGTTTGCTTCTACAAAATATTAGTTCATTGAACAAAAGTTACACAGCAAAATATATGATTCCATTTATATACATGTATGTGTGTGTGTGTGTGTGTGTGTGTGTGTGTGTGTGTAATATATATGTTATATATGTGTTAAAGTTTGAAAAGATGAAATATATGATTCCATTTATATACATGTATGTGTGTGTGTGTGTGTGTGTGTGTGTGTGTGTAATATATATGTTATATATGTGTTAAAGTTTGAAAAGATATATACCAAATTATTATCATTTCTTATTGCTGAGGGACAAAGTTATAGGTGAACTCTCCTTTTGGAAAATGTGTTTTTGTGGTTGTTCAATGTTTTGTAACCAAAGTGTTTCTTACAATCAACAAAAGAAAATTTTCCATTTTGGAAAATTACATCTTCCAAAAATGGCCCATGTTATTCTGGAGCCTTTAGACTGCTGAGGAATGGAGTCTCCTCACTTCTGAATTAAACTCTTTTGCTTCTAACTTGTGTTTATGTTTTTATTTCTGTTTTTTTTTTTTTTTTTTTTTAAACAGGGTAGTATTTGTTTGACATCTTTAGAGGTTTATTCTGGATCTGGAATGGCTTATATTCTTTTATTTTGAGGTTAGAGTAGCTAGCATTTTCAGGTGAAGATAATGCTATGGGAAATTCTACAATAGCAGACCAAAGTAAAAACAACAAAACCCATAACATCCTTGGGGAAATCAGCTAAAAACACAAAATTAAACGTGAAATAACAGTAAGAAGTTACAGACATGAAAATAATTGTGTTGAAAAACTGGGGAAAGGTGTTGATTAACCAATAAGAATCATGCTGAAAATGCACTGAGAATTAATTGGGAATTGACTTATTTTCACTGTGTTCTGTGGCCAGATGGAATGGATATTAAATAGAAAGAAATTGTTTTAATTCATTTAAGAATTTAAGAATGTTTTTTAAATATTCATGCAGGTGGGACTAGTAAAATCAGCTTTTTTTCAGAGCAGTGAGGGCAGTTTTTTCTTTAAGATTTGAGATGATCAAAACCCTTTTATTTTGATTAACGTATTACGTAGATTTTTATTTATTTTTTCTCTTGCTGCAGGATTTCTATTAATGGAGAAAGCCCAAAACATCGGTCATGGCATACTTTAACCCCAGTAGCTGATGACAAGCTTTTCCTATTTGGTGGACTAAGTGCAGATAATATTCCATTAAGTAAGTCGATTAAAGTTTAGCCTACAACTATTATCTCATTCTTTTTTTTGATCGTATTTCATACTATGGTGAAGAAAGTCTTCCTTTTTCCCATTTTTCTGATTTACCTTTATCCCCACTACCTGCTGTCATTGAGAATTAGAAGAGGGGCTGGCTGTTAGCTCAGTTGGCTGGAGTGGAGCCTTGTAACACCAAGGGTGAGGGTTCAGATCCCCATACCAGCCCGCTGACAGAAACACAGACAAAAGACAGAATTGGAAGACCTCTTTGCTTTTGTGCTGTTGCCTCTCCACATTCTCCTCCTTCCTAGATATGGAGAAGAGGAAGGATGGTTGAACCTGGATGAATTAAAGCCCCTTTTCCATTATCATATTCTGTGATTCTCTGTCCTCCTGAATTTGATCCAGATGCTTACACTGTATACTGGACTGGGAATTAGAAGAGCAGTGTTTTCTAGAAGGCTGTGGAAATAGGAGGGGTCTTCAAAAAGTTCATGGAAAGATTCACATTATCTTTTTAAATTCTATTTTCCATGAACTTTTTTTTTTTTTTTCCTTTTTGTCTTTTTTCATGTCCGGCAACGGACCGCAACCCTCAGTGTCGCGCCCGTACCGGACCGGGACCGGCAACGGGATCGCAACCCTCGGTGCTGCGCCCGCCCCTCGCTCAGCCAGTGAGCGGGAACCGGTCTGTATGTGGGATCCAAACCCTCGGCGGGAGCGCTGCCGCACTCCCAAGCGGCGCACTGTAGCAGTGCGCCACCGGGCCATCCCTTCCATGAACTTTTTGAGGTACCCTCCTCTAAGGTGGGAAGGCCAGTTGCATTTTCTTTGTTCCAGAACTGTAAAGGAAAGTGCTTAACTAGAATTTTTTAACTCCTGTCACTGCTTATCTCAATGGCTCTGGGTTTTATAATGCAGTTTTTCTTTCAGCAGTAAAATTGGGGCACCAAGATAGACAAATGACCAAGAATATCCACTTAAGAAGTTTGACATATTAAATGTTGATGTTTTACATTTTCTTAACCCAGAAGTTTCTTATGACTAAAGATGTTTTCATTAAGGAAACATACATCACTTCCCGTCAAGATGGTGAAATAGATGGTCCCCAGCAACATTCTCTCCCACAGATCAACTAATTTACAACTCTTAAAAAGCAATGACAACCAAGCTGGGCCACTAAAGCTCAGGGGAAGAGGAGGAGAGACCTACAGAGTGAATGAAGGCCAGAGAAGCCACGATGAGAGAAAGAAAAAACCTCTCTGACCATTTCAAGCCCCAGCCTCTTCCAAGCTGGAACTGCTGAGTGCATGGAGCAGTAGCCAGCAAAAGCCATAGCTGTGCCTTTCGAATGGATTTGCTTGGAGGTGGCAGGACAGAAGAGGGCCTTGATGGCCCCCAGGCAAGCAAAACCACTAATAGGGTTCCCATAGACCCACATAGGACCGAGGAGCCACAACAACTGAAAAAAAGGAGCCACTCAGAGGCCAGTGAGTCATCACAAGAGACCAGCGTACAACCTGTCCCATGGGAAGTGTTTGAAGCATGAGTAGTGGGGGAGACAGGCCCACTGGGAGAGCACTGAGACACAGCAAGGGCAGCTCATCTTCCCCCCAATCAGCGTAGGACCACTCAGAGGAGACTGGTCAGGCATATAGAATTGCATGGGGTGCAGTTTAATGAAAAGACTCCAGCCTAGACCAGTGTTTCTACACAGCCCAGGTGCATTGGATTTCACTAAACCCAGAAGTCCTATAAAGTCAGCCATTAAAACCTGAGCTGTGGGCCGGCCCAGTGGCGCACTGGATAATGCGCCGCTTGGGAAGCGCGGCGGCGCTCCCATCCGAGGGTTCGGATCCCACATACAGACCGGCTCCCGCTCACTGGCTGGGCGAGGCGCGGGAGCAACCCCGAGGCTTGCAATCCCGTTGCCGGTCCCCAGTCCGGTGCGGGGGCAACAGTGAGGGTTGCGATCTGTTGCCGGACACGGAAAAAAAAAACAAAAAAGACAAAAAAAAAAAACAAAAACCTGAGCTGCACAAAAAGGGTTCCTCAGGGAATCAACAGCAAAGCAGCAATTTAGCTCAACCACAGAGCTCAAGTACTGATCCCCACAGGAAGTTCCCCCACTTTAGAAATAAGGAAAGGACAACAAATTAGTTCCAGCGCAGAGTTTAAATGGTGAGAACAGCAAATAATCCAACACAGAGCTGAAAGATAAAACAAGAGTACCCACAACCAGAGACAAAGTTTGATATTGACTAGTAAAGATCTCATTTCACCAAAGAACACCTGGAAGGACCTGAAGTTCCCTGGGCTACCAAGCCAGATATGGGGGACAACCAGGCATACCACCAGCACTATAGGGCCTACCCAGGGTCCTGAGGTCTGGATCCAGGGACCGGACCCTCTGCCCCCTACCAGGCACACCACCAGTGCCACAGGCCCACCCAGGGTCCTGAGGCATGTAGTCAGGGACTGGACCCCTCCCACAACCAGGCACACTGCCATCGCCACCACCAACTAAGTAAGGAGCATGCCAAAAACATCACCTCCATGTGGGTGGCCCACCACAGCCACCACAATAAACATGGCTGCTGCAAAAGCAGCTAAAGGCCACAACTACCACATAGATGGTCCACCAGCCACTGGAATGCATTGACACAAGGAGAGTCACCAGCAGAGACCAAAGAAAAGAAGAGGATGTCTCTCTCCACAAAGCTCATTGCAGAGTGACAGAAGAAGCATCTGCTCTACAATAATTTAGGGGGACCTGAATACACGTCTCAGCATTGGACAGATCATCTAGGCAACAAATCAACAGAGTAACCATTACTCTTTCAGAAGGAAAGAAGAAATCTAGGGTAATTAGAAGGGGGAGGGAGTGGGGGAGAGATTGGACAAGGGACATAAAGAATAAGTATGACTTGTAGCTATATATATGCTAGTAACATTGATTTGATCAACATATGTCAATGTTGAACCCCCAACTATGTGTAATCAATTATGATTCAATAAAAATTAAAGGAAAAAAAATAATCAATGGGATTTTTTATTAAAATTTCTATTGATCATCACATATTGTATGCAAATAATGATAGCTAACTCTGTACCTCACAGACGTGTATAATCAATTGTTTCAATAAAAATATGTAAAAAAGAAACCATGCATACTATTAAGCCCATTCGTATAATTTCATATAGGATCTGGAAACAACTATTTTTCAACAAAAGTTCATTAAGCATCAACCGTGTATTTGGCAGTCTGCTAGCCACCAAACGAACAAACTCCAGAGGCTGGGGAATGTTATTTATTCTTGCAGATTATTACACTTCTCCAATTTGTGAGATTTTTAATCAGAAGAGATTCAGACTCTAACCAAAAACTAATATCTGTACATTTCACTACCTTCATGTGATGTGGTGTTTTTAATTCCTATTTGTTGTTTTTGGTCATTAAACTATGAGAAATTAAATGCCCTAATTCTTAGTCTAGTCACTTTCCTCTCTTAACGATTCAGTTTAAGATTTGGTCATATGGGTATTAGATGATACCAATAAATTATTTTAGTTTTGTTGAATGTGAAAATGGCATTGTGGTTATGTTAAAAATGTGCATTTTTTTAGCAGTGCATACTGAAGTATGTACGGGGAAAATGATCAGAGATCTAGGACTTGATTTAGAAAAATTCAGCAATAAGAATAACAAAAACAGATAAATGGAGCATATGTGTTGAAATCTTGAGAGTTGTTGAATCTGGGCTATGTGGAGGGTTCATTGTCCTGTTCACTCTACTTTTGTATGTTTTAAAATCTTTATGATAAAATATGCACATACACAAAAGATAGTCATATAAAGGTAGCATGATACATTGGGGAAAAAATTAAAATTGTATCCGAGGACCTAATCTTAACTTCTCAACTGTCAAAATATTGCAGGTGATGGTTGGATTCATAATGTCATAACAAATTGTTGGAAACAACTTACACATTTACCTAAAACAAGACCAAGGTAAGTCTAGAAGTTTACAAATAATAAAATAGTTAAGAATTTTTAAAGTATTAAACTATAGCACTGAATTTACAGTGTTTGCCATTGAAACCATAGACTATAGGAAGGATATCTTTCAAATGAGCTTGATGTTACCTAAATAATTTAATTATCATTTTAATTGTCTGATTATTAGAAATGATATACAGAGTTTTTACCAATATTTGCATATTTGAAAATGTATTTTTAGATAAATGCATAATCTTACCTGATAAATAGGAAAAGACTAAGATAATTAAAAGCATCATATATTATTAATTATTTGAATGTTAATATTTTCAGTAAGTAGATGAGAATGGAGTTGGCTTTAATAGTAATTTGTATTTGAAAGAGGTTTAAAGCAGTTTAATGAGGGAATTTGCTTTTATGTTGATCCAGTAGATGACAGATTATTATTTTTCTCTATTAACTCTATTGTGCATTCCTTAATGTGAATTTTTTGAAAAAGAAAACATATTATTTGTGGCATGTTATAGGATAAAAAATTGTAGAAACAATATACTATTATTAGACTATAAAGAAAAACACATTAGTACTATAATTCTTATTTTTCCTTATTTGATTGAATGGTATAATAAAGATAGCTGCGAAAGAAATTCAGATTCAGCACATTATAATTATTATAGTCAGTAATATATTTTATTTTTTTCATGGCCTGTATTTCAGAATATTTTTACTACAGATTGTTTATGCTAGTGTGAAGTCATTTAATGATATATATCTTTATTATTTAATAAATGATAGTAACTTTCTTGAGAAAAGGGCCTGAAAAGTATTTATATATATTTTGGTATGTATATTTATATTAGTATTTACAATACATTTAGAGTTTATTGTTATTACATATGTGATTCTTACATCTTCTTGTATAAAAACTCATTGGAATGTACTATTTTAACAATTCTGGCTCTTCTGAAATATATTTTTTAAATTCAAAGAGTTTTATATTAAGATATGGGAGCCCAGAGTTCTAGTCCTTGCTCAGCCACTACTTAGCTTTTTGGCTTTTAAAACTCACTTAAAGAAACTGAGCATCAGTTTTTTCATCTGTGAAATGAGGGAATTGGACTAGATAATCTCTTAGTTAATTTTAATTCATTCTGATGTATGAATACATTAATTATAGACAAAATCGTAGTAAAATATGCTTAATTTTTAAATTGCTTCTATTTTATATTTCAACCCTTAATGAGTAATTAGAGCAACACAACTGTTAACAATAATATACTAGTTAGAAGTAGAGTTATGTAAAGAGATTTCTTTGATTCAGCTGATGTGTCATGTAAATAATATGCTTTATTAGAATGTTTAGGTGATAAGTTTAGAGCAGCTGTGAAAGGACATAAACTATCAGTCTGTAGGAAAAACATCAGGTTGCGAGCTAGATGTCACCAAAATCAAGGCAGGAAAGGCTTTCCAGTGTTCTTCGATGATGAAATCCAGGCCAGAGTTTCCCTAAGGCAGATAAGACAGAGGCAGATCTATCTTCAGGTATGAGGTGAGGAGGAGAACAGGTGGGATACAGTTGAGTGTAAGGAGAATGTATATGTGTGTAAATATATATATATATATAACTAATTTTTTATGAAAGTGACAATTTAGTAACATCTAAATGCATTTCGTGCAAACTTTTTTCAAGTTATAATTTGCAACAGAAGCTGCCCAATTCTCCTCTTAATTAAAACTCTAAGTCAGGGTTTCTCAACCTCAACACTATTGATATTTTGGACCACATGATTCTTTTTTGTTAGGTGTGTCCTGTGCATTGTAGGATATTTAGCAGCATCCCTGTCCTTTACCCACTAGATGACAATAGTACTACCTTCCCTTTCCCTAAGTTGTGGCAATTAAAAATATCTCCAGATATTGTCAAATGTCTTCTTGGGGGACCAATCTACAGTGTAGCACTCTCTTCTCCAGGTCTCACCTTAGATAAAACTATGCTTGGTTGAAAAGCCATCTATATAGCCATATCTCTTGACCAATATAGGTGGCTGTCAGTGAGGACCTTTTTCTATGCGTCTGTAAGAGATGTCAGATAAAGTGTTGGTATATAGAGCCTTAACTACTGTTGAATCTCATGAGTATTGCCATAGTTATACATGGCCTTCTTTCCAGGTAATTAAACAATTCCTTCCCATATATGAGGGTATTCATTGTATTCTATCTCATTTACCCAATCCCTCTTCCAATCCCCCTTCCAATCCCCCTGCCTAACCCCTCAAAGTAATCTGGGTTCTTGCTGAAGATTTGTATCAGTTTATGTTCTAACATATAAGTTGGAGAATTGGACCGTCTTTTTTTTTTTTTTTTTTTTTTCTTTGGCAGCTGGCTGGTACAGGGATCAGACCCTGGACCTTGGTGTTATCAGCACCATGTTCTAACCAACTGAGCTAACTAGCCAGCCCTGGGCAGAGTCTTTCCCAAACATCTCTAATAACTTGGTTGTATCCTGGGGCACAAATGCATTTGTTATTGAATGTGTACATAATTGTTTGAGGAAAGTATTTGGTTTAACAAATTGTGCATAATCCTACTGTTCACACTTGTGGAGATTAAATAAAAGGGAATAATGTACTAAAAATATGTTTTGTGGTAATAAAATAAGTGGTAATGTATAATTATTTTGGACATCTGTTGCTTCAGCAATTTTGTCTATTGAGAAAAGTAATCAGAGTACTCTCAAAAGCAAAGCAACAACTTTACGGGGCCGGCCCGTGGCTCACTCGGGAGAGTGCGGTGCTGATAACACCAAGGCCACGGGTTCGGATCCCATATAGGGATGGCCGGTTCGCTCATTGGCTGAGCGTGGTGCTGACGACACCAAGTCAAGGGTTAAGATCCCCTTACCGGTCATCTTTTAGAAAAAAAAAAAAAAAAAGCAAAGCAACAACTTTATAAAATCCTAATTTGTCCTCTAATATTGAGAAGTTTACATGTACTTTTCTCTGAAAGTTAGAGCCTCTGGAAATATTGATCTTTATAAAACCATAAAATTATTCTTAGTAAATAATGTGGAGTTGTATATGAGCTATTAGAAATTTCCAAAAGAACACAGGATGCTCAACTCCTTTATGAAATAATTTGTATATTTAATCACTGAATAAATTATGCTGGTATTCTGTGTTCGCTTTTGTGAATCAAAAGTTTCTGAGCACTTAACTGGTTGCAGAACACCGTATTAGGCATTTTTAAGGAGAAGTATAAAATTAGATTACCCAAGTTCTGGTGGTGTACTGGTAAACGGTTAACAACAGCTCTCCTGGAAATTTTTTTTGAAAGCCCCAATTTGTAGCATTTGCTCATCTCCAAGGTGTAAATATGCCCACCGTGGCTGATTTCAAGCTAGCAACGTGATGTCACTGAACATGGAGTTGGATGGAAATACACACAATTGACTTCAACTAGCCAATGAGCCAGTTCCAGCACACCACTGGGGCAATTTCTGACCTCAAGGACCTCATAGTCTTCTTAGGTAGCTAGAAAACACACACATCAAACAATTAAAGTAGTGTATAGAGCAGTTTATCTCCAAATGTAACTTAAAGAGTACAAAATGAGCACATAAATGTTGAAGAGGATTGAACAGAGATGGTAACAGAACCAGTTTGGATAGGTATTTGGAACACTTCCTAGCAGTTTTTTCTTATGCTTATCATTCTAAGCATAAGAAACAGGGTGAACAAAAGCCTAGATGTAGATATAAGCTTTTCTCTTAGGGGAAGCAAGGAAATGAACTTGGCTGAAATAGAGGGCTCCTTTGGGGAGAGGCAAGAATTAAGATCTGTGGGAAAAAGAAATAGCAATTGATCATAAATATTGGGCTAGGAAAAACAGCTATTGGTAGCACAGATGCTATCTGACCAGGAAATTTCCATCATTTAAAATAATATTTGACAAATATTATTATTAGCTATATGTAGCTGGGGGAGATTAAAGACAGAAAAACTAGGAGCATTTGTTATTCTATACCCAGAGTGATGAGGCACTGTGTAACAATGTTTTCTGTAGTATTTCCATAGTGTGACAATGGAAATGTGAAGGGTGCATCAAAATGAAATTGCCAGGTGATGGGGAACAGAAAGCAGGAAAAATGAGGCAAAAATGATGAGAATAGCAACGTGGCAGATAGAGCAGTAAAGAAACAGAGAAAGGTGCCTGTTTTGATAATAAAGTGATCTGTTCTTTTTAAATTTATTTTATTTCAAGGATAATATTATGAGATAAAAGGGTTAGAAAAAGTTTGGGGGATGTAATAGAAAGAATTATTAGGAGTCATCTCCTTAATTAAAATGATAGTATTTAATGAATTCTATAGGAATCTTTAACATTGAATCCCTTTGAGGTTATGCCAAAGGTCCAAGTTCAAACATGACTCTTTTGAAATAGATTAAATTTTAGAGTGTGCAATTTGGAATTGATTTATATATAATGTACAGTTTCTTCCTTGATAGTATCTCACTGTGTTTATAATTTTCAATCATAGGTTATGGCACACAGCCTGTTTGGGAAAAGAAAATGAAATAATGGTATTTGGTGGGAGCAAAGATGATTTACTTTCCTTGGATACAGTAAGAAAATCCTTTATTGAAATATTTCCTTTGAGTAATTGTGTTATTCAAATTAAATGGCTATTCAGCAAGAATGTTGATATTCTAACATTGCAAAATATGAAATGGCATGAAATGTTACTCTGTTTATGATTAATCTTCAAAATGAGTGGCTTTCGTGAAGCATTTCAGTGTATTTTGGATTCACAGATCAAAATAGGTCTATTAATTCCATTAGCCAGATTATTAAGAAGAACTTTTAAAGGACAACTCTTTCTTTTCTTTTTTCTTTGAGCCTCATCATAGTATGGATGTTTATAATTTTATTAAATTAAAATATTTTAAATTAATATTTGATACTTAGAGAATATTGATAATGTATATGCTAAGCATAATAATAAATATCCATGAAATTTGTTAGCTAATTTAAGAACTAGAACATCATCAGTACTATTGATGCTACCTGTTTATTCCTTCTGAATCTTACCAGATAGTTTTTCCCCTCAAGAGGAAAGTACTTTGTTAAAGTGTTTAAAGTGTATTTTCTTTTTATTTTATGCATCTTTTACCATTGCTTCACCCAGCTGTTTTACATACGAGTTTAAAAAACTAAAGTCAAAGGGATAAATGAAGAGTATTGGAGACTATTGTCCTTTCACTCCTAGCACCTTGGGAAATTCAGAGAAGGGTGGCCACATTCATATTCTGTACATGATGGTAGGAATTCAGGACTGATTGCTATGGTTTGCGTAGGACTCTGAGCTGTCAGGGATGGAGTATGATGAGCCAGAGTCCAGCCAGGAGGGCACCAGCTCCCTCTTATCTCTTGAAGCACAGTCATCTCCAGAGTTGCTCCTATGGAGTGGCAAACATTGAAATAAGGTGGCTTTGCTCCAGGGAATATGGCTTATTTTATAGTTTCTGAGGCCTCTGATTTAAATGTTACATATATTGAAAGTTTTAGAGCTTTCTTTGGCTGAGAACTAAGAGCTTCACTAAAAGATTAAAATCACAACTTTGCATTTAATTTAAAAGCAAATTTTGTGGTTTGTCTTCTCTTTCTTGGCACTAGAAATCTTTGTTTAGGATACAAGGTTTACCATTAAAATAGAAATTCTGAATAAAATCATGATCATAAATTATGAAATTCTAAAGACCCATTTAAAAGAGAAATTTTCTGCTGACTCTTTTTAACTTTTAGATGAAAGACTCATTATTCAAACAGTCTTCCAGATCTTGATTTTCAAATTAAGAATTTCCAGAGAATACACCTGGAAAAAAGAGACAAGATAAAGAAGCTTTAAAATAAGAACTACTTGGAAGAAAAAGATTTGCTTAAAAAACAAAAAAGTTTGAAAACCACTACTGCTAATTTTAACTCACTGTTCTCAGAGAACGTGTTTGTGATTTCTAAATTTACTGTTATGTAGGATATTGGTTAGGTAAAAATCTGGTCTCTGAAAATTGATAACCACATACCCAAAGTTCATAGATAGCAGGTATATGAATGTATGTGTATGTATATGTTTGTGTGTTCATGCGTGTATGCATGTGCATGTGTATATGTATGTGCATGCGTGTATATGTGCATGCATGTATGTGTCAACAGCTAGAAAGAGATTTGTTTGCTGCTTTACATAATTTCTTTTACATTTATAAAATAAAAAGCATTCGGGCCGGCCCGGTGGCACACTGGAGAGTGCGCCGCTTGGGAGTGCGGCAGCGCTCCCACCGAGGGTTCGGATCCCATGTGGAGACCGGTTCCCGCTCACTGGCTGAGCGCGGTGCAGGCGCAACACTGAGGGTTGCGATCCCGTTGCCATATGGCCTTTACTGTCGTATAACTTCGTATAATGTATGCTATACGAAGTTATTACGTGTGGAGACCGGTTCCCGCTCACTGGCTGAGCGCGGTGCAGGCGCAACACTGAGGGTTGCGATCCCGTTGCCGGTCAGTAAAAAAGACAAAAAGGAAAAAGATAAATAAATAAATAAAAAGCATTCAATTGTTAATGCACTGTTATTTTTATCAAAAACCCTCATGAGACCTTTTTTTTATATTGATTAGGGTCACTGTAATGACTTATTGATCTTTCAAACACAGCCTTACTCACTAGTCAGGTAAGCAAATTCAGTATTTTTACACATATATGCTGTAAATGTATGATCATTTCTTTCTTCCTCTTTTTTGGAAAGAGTTATAATATTTTTCAGGTACTTGAATTAGAGAAAATATTTACATCTTCCTAAGGGCATAGGCAAATTAATAATGATGAATCATACACCAATGTGATTTTTTAAAATTAAAATATACAGTACAGCCACATTTTTTGTTTTGCTTGCAAAATTGTATGTAGGCCATATGGTAATATTAAAATACTGTGTTTCCTTAATTCTTACCCTGCCTTTTTTCAGATTTTAACCTTTTGGAAATCAGAATGTGTCTAATTATATACATACGTATTATATATACACACATATATACACACACACACATTTAATATAGAAGAATTTCTTTTTTTAATCCCAAAGCTGTTATTAAATTGATGGTGTGATGTATAGTGTCTTAGTTCATATACTCTTTCTCTAAAAGGGAGTATATACAAAGTTTAGTTGGAGGAATGTGGACGAAGGCCCTATTTCTGCCTGTGAGAGTTGGGAGGAAGGATTTGAGACAAGTAGAAGTTGCCTAGTGAACAAATGTGGTAATTTTATGCAGTGGAAATAACATGGGTGAAGGCACGTGAGAGAGAGAGAGAGATGACGTGGTATTTCAAGGATTATACTATAACTTCCAGATGTTCTACAACTTGAGTCTCTTGAAAACCATTGGACTAGCTCAAACTGAACTTTCCCGAAGTCTTTCTTAACTGTTCCTTCTCTTAGTGTGGTAGCTCTCAAACTTGCCTGCACATTAGAATCTCATGGGGAGCTTCAAAAAATATTGATGTAGGCCACCCCCACATCAATACTCTGTGCCACCCCTACAGAGTGATTTAACTAGTCTAGGGTATGGCCTGGACTTCGGAACTTTTGAAAGATCCCCAGGTCATTCTAATGTGCAGATAAGTTTGGAAACCACTGCTATAATGATTTATAATGGCTTAGCTTTTATTGTGAACATAACTGCTCTCCCTAAGTAGGCTGCAAGTTCCTCATACGCAGGGATCAAGAAATATTTGAGTGCCTATGTGGGAAGGCACTGTGCTATGAAAAGGCATGGCCTTTACCTTAAATTGCTGATAATATAGACTTTCAAACTTTCATACTTTTTCTATAATCGATAAAGAAAATTGCTTTAAGAGAAACATACACAAAGTTCATGAGAATACTGGAGAAGAAGGCCCTCTGTGCACATGGTTAAGATGGCAAAGGTTAGAGAAATCTGCCGAAGAAGAAGAGTTTTGACATAAGAATTAGCCATGAACAGGAAGTGCAAGGGTGTTAGTGTAAAGATATATATATATATATATATATATATATATGTAAGAGCGTGGTATGTTCTGGAAACTATGAATTCTTGAGTATTGCTGGAGCATTAGTATGAGGCGCAGAGTTGCAAAGAAATGAGGTTGGACAAAAATCAGAAACAATATGTTATTTAGGGACTTTGTCTCTCATGCAGAGCAGTTCACATTGTCTTGTAGGAGATCAGGAACCATTGAAAAACTTGGAGCAGGGGAACGAGATGATTATATTACAAGGTAGAAAATTCCTCTGGCAACAGTGTGGATGAGGGATTGAAGGGATATATGACTAAGAAAGTTGGTAAAGAGACTATTGCAGTGGTCAGGCATGAAGTGAGGATCCGATCTAGAGAGTGTCAGTGGGGCTGGAGAAGGAAGGGAGTTAGAGATATTTAGGAGGTAGAAAGGACTTGGTGGTTGAATGGATGCCAAGAGAAAGGAGTAGGAAGAGTTAATGATAGGGGGAATATGGAAAAGGCAACAGGCTTGAAGGTGCAATAGAGTAGAAATGATGAATTTTGTTTTAGACATGTTGAGCTTGAAGTAATTATGTGACCTCTGGTGGAGCCATCCATTAAATAGTTGAATATATGGAAGGAGGTCTTGGCTAGGCATAAAATTTAAATATTGTTGGAGAATTAAGGAGTAGGGGTTAGTTCTGCCCAGGAAGAGTTTGTAGAGTAAATAGGAAGCCAACAAATGAACATTAAGAACTCATTACATGTGAGGAGTAGGTAGAGGAAAAGGAAGCAGCAAGAAAGTGATGGGATATTTTTTTTTTTTTTTGTCTTTTGTCTTTTTTCCGTGTCCGGCAACGGATCGCAACCCTCAGTGTTGCCCCCGCACCGGGCCGGGGACCGGCAACGGGATTGCAACCCTCAGCGTCGCCCCCATGCCTCGCTCAGCCAGTGAGCGGGAACCGGTCTGTATGTGGGATCCGAACCCTCGAGCAGGAGCGCCACCGCGCTTCCCAAGCGGCGCACTATCCAGTGCGCCACCGGGCCGGCCCGAAAGTGATGGGATATTAAAGGTGAGCCAGGAGATGATGGCAGCATGAAAACTGGGAGAGGAGAGAACTGAAAATGGAAAGACTAATGCGAGAGGTCATAGAATATTTAGATTGGAAAGCACTGTGTAGTTTGGCAGTACTAGGAAGTTGTTGGTAAGGTGAAGGTGGAAGCCAGGATGACTTCTGGGGAGGCACACCAAGATCAGGGGAAGAGCAAGTGTATTTGTTTATATGCTGAGTGGAAGAAACCAATGCAGGGTAAGTTGATGGAAACACAAGAAAATGAAGGAAAAATTGGCAAAGCAGGGTCTTGAAGAGGTGGATTTTAGCAGAGTCCAATTAGCCCTTGATTGAAGGAAGGATACTTTTATTTTAAAATAGTCAAAAAAGAAGGAAGTATGGATATAAAAACAAAATTTTGTTGGTTGGAGGCAGGGCATTGAGCAAGTTTAGTTGATAGTGATGTCATCTGATAAGAAAAAATAGAGGTGAGAGTATGAACTTAATGAAGAGTGGTGAAGATTTAGAATTGCTGAGGTGACTGTGAGAAGATACTGACTAGGGATGTAGAATGTAGTAGTGCCTAGCTGAGACAGAATATAATCAGTACATAGAGGCACCATGTCTGCAGGAACATGGTTTTCTCCAGCAGCACTGAGCAGCCAGGTCACAAGTGCAGAAAGAAGATGACTGGCTGAATTTATGCATGGTTGCAGTTTGGCCAAGATGGTATAACAGAGGGACAGTGGAGAAGGGGATTCAAGTTGCTGGCAAGAAAATGAATTGCTTATGGACCAGTCTGGATAGGAAAGGAAGTTAAGACTGAAGGAGTGTTACTATTTAGGGAAACAGGGAGCGTCAAAAGAGTAAGGGAGTGTAAGAATTAAAAGAATAAGAGGTTTCTGGTCCAAGAAGGGGATACGGAAGTTTAAGATTTCAAAGGTGAAACTGTCCTGAGTGAGGACATAAAGAGTGAAAAGGGTTTTCCATGCAGATGCTAAAATTGGTCAAGAAAAGAGACTGTGGTGAGCCAGGGCCAAAGTCTTCAGTGACTGGGGGAGAGCAAGCAGGAGGTTAGTAGATGGCAGCACCTGAAGGTGAAATTGTAGTAGCCTGGCAGCAGCAGTTAGGAGTGAGGGGACCACTCACATTGGCTCCATGTCTGTGAAAATGGAGATGAGGGTAAATGTCAGTTCATTTCTCAGGAAGGCTACACACAAGTCTATTTCTTGGATTTCAATTAGAGCAAAGACTGAAAGTCAGAGGAAACGGATGTTTGTAGACCTCACAACTGGTATTCCAAAAAGTGTGGAAGGGAGGTTTGGGAGGGAAAATAAGTAGTGATGGGGAGTATATTAGCCAGCATAGGAATGAGAGAAAATGAAAGGACAGACAACTGGGTGGACTTGTGTTTGAGGCTAGGACCAAGGGCAATCACCAGTCTTAGGCTTCTTTGCGTCACTCACGGTACTGAGTACAGTGCTTTCTGTGAATGGGCACATCCCTTTTGATGTTGAGCATATTTTGATACATCAAAACTTGAACATAGCAGTAGTGTAGTAGTATTTATTGTATGATGGCTGGCAACTACAACCAGTTGTCCGCAGTGCAGCCAGCATGATCATTTTAGTTTAAATTTTAAGTCAGATGGCAACTAGCATTTACTGTGTTGAGACGCTGGGAGAAAGAGGTGACTAGGACATGGTTCCTTTTCTCAAAGAGCTTGTATGACTAATGGACTTGTGGGATCATGCCCATTGTACCTTCAGATATCTTTTTTAAAAGATATAGCTCTATTATTTATTCTGATTTTAAGAACAATGTATTTACCAAGAAAATTCATACAATATGAAAAGTATATGCTAAAAAATAAAAAAATCACCTGTGACCCATCACCCACAATGATTATTGTTAAGAGTTTGGTGTGTATCCTCCCAGACTTTAAAATAATTTTAAATCATTTTAATGATTTTGTTAATGGTTTTATCAAATGATTAGTGTGAATTTATGTATTCATTTTTACTCAAAATATTTTAACACTTGTATATATTGGTGGGGTACAGTATGTTGTTTTAATACATGTATATACTGCACAATGATTCACTTGGGGTAAATAGTGTGGTTTTGTACCTATTAGTCCACCACTTTTCCTACTTCCCCCACCCTCCCACCTCTAGTAACCAGTATTCTACTTCTATAAGAACGACTTTTTTTTTTTTAGATTCCACATATGAGTGATATCATGTGGTATTTGTTTCTTTGTGCCTGACTTACTTCACTTAACATGATTGTTTCCAGTTCCATCCATGTTGCTGTAAATAATAGGGTACCATTTTTTTTAATAGCTGAGTAGTATTCCATCGTGGATATATACCACAGTTTTTTTGTCCATTCATCTGTTGATGGGCATTTAAGTTGATTCCATCTCTTGTGAATAGTGCTTCAATGAACATGGGAGTGCAGGTGTCTTTCTGATATATTGATTTAATTTCCTTTGGATATATACTCAGTAGTGGCATAGCTGGGTCTTAAGGTAGATCTGTTTTTGGTTCTCTGAGGAACCTCCATACTGTTTTGCACAGTGGCTGTACCAATTTACACTCCCACCAGCAATATAGGAGAGTTCCTTTTTTTCCAAATCCTCA